AGGTCTATTTAACCCAAACCCTGAAGGTTTAAATCCCACTACATCACAAGAGCATTACTCACTCAGAGTTAATTACAGATTCCAGTTGGAGCATGACCCTTTCTACACCAAAAGGAGCAACTCTGCTAATAGGACAGTTCTGCAACATCACTTTTTTTGGCACCTGAATCCTGGACTTGGCATATGTGATTAAAATAAATTAAAATATTGACATTAAAACCATACTATGGAAACTCAATGGCTTCCCAATAGCGATGCCACCATTCTACAAGGGATACTCTTGAACACTTCTTATTTTGTGAGTGGCATTTCCAGCAAACCAGCTCCACCTTCAGTACTATTGATTACCACACAAAGAGAAATGTTTGTTTCCAAACTCCCCACATTATGGTCCATCTGCCCTAATACCAAGCCATTCAGGGAACTCAGCTTCAGTAGAAAAATGATTTTTAACCCATGCCAGAAGTTTTGTGTTTGAGCAGCTGGAGAACAATGAAAAGCATCTTTAGGCACAAAGACCTGAAGAGATGATTGAAGTGGCTGTGCTGAAACCTCTGCAATTCAATGCACCAACACAGTTCAGCTCTATTTCACAAGCACCTGAGGACCATATTTTCCACATGCCCTATCCTGCAAAACTCATCTCAGAGGAGATGCTCTGCCCTCTTTATAATTCTGTAACATTCAATAAAAGGCCAGATGCCAACACTGTGAGGTGTTACAAGTATCTCAGGAAGATACAAAACGGCAGTTCAAATACTGTGCCTGTGTCAAATTATTAGGGAGTCTGACCAGGAGATCTTGTTCTGCTGCCAGAACTAGGCTATATATGTATGTTTAGATTTGGGCTTGTTAGACAACCTGTCAAAGGCATCAGGAAAAACTGAACTTGAACAGTCTGGACAAAGCTGTGGATTTTGATTGATGTCCTGTTTTCCTCCCTCCCCCCCTCTTTTAAAAAAGAAACAAACCACTGTCTGGTCTACTCCAGAAATAGTTAGAGAGCTAACAGCAGACAGGTTGTTAAAGAATATCTGCACAGCTTGACTGAGACTACAGGGAGAACTTAACGATTCTTCAAGTCTTACAGCCTCCAGATTCCTCTTCTGTGTGGAAAGAAATGACAGAAAAAAAACCTGGTGACATTCTGAAGTCTCTTTGTAAAAAAAGAGCAATTTAGAAACATCATTATTATAGACGGTAGCACACTTATGAACAGCATGTAATATAAGGTTTTTAATAATACTTGACATGATTACCCAGATTACTGTCTCTTCAGTATTTCACGGTTATCACTGGACAATTGACACTGAACTTCAGTTTACATTCTTCAATAAGTTACTGTGTAAATAAAGTATGCTCAGAGTTCTTGTTTGTGGCCAGTACTTACATTTAATTACAGGTGATCTGTTTATAGGTGCAAAATACATTAAAATTGTTTACAGGAAATAAGCTTAACTAGCACTAACTCTGGAATCTAAATGTTTACAACAGCACCAACAGTAGCTCAGCTATTTGTTTGAACATGCTTTTCAAAATGTACTTTGTAATGCAGTAGAAAAGAAATTCAAAGAAATGCCAGAAAGGGAAGCACAGAAGATCAAAACTCCATAGCAGACTGGATCAATAAAATATTTAACCGCAGTTCTTAAATGTAAGTACTACACCAAGGAGTAGTCTGGTTGGTCTTAAATGGTGTTAAAGCCCTTGTTTTCTAAAGGAGACAATAATCAGCATTTTTGCCTATTCAATCCACTCAAGATTTAGGCATCGTGCTATAAAAGCAAACATATCTGACACTTCTTCTATAACTTTAGCAGTTGGCTTTCCTGCTCCATGCCCAGCCTTGGTGTCAACGTGGATGAGAAGGGGGTTGGTTTGTTTACGGCTTCGGCCCACGACGTATTGCAGCGTAGCAATAAACTTCAGGGAATGGAGAGGGACCACGCGGTCATCGTGGTCTGCTGTGAGAAGCAGCGTGGAGGGATACTGGATGCCATCTTCTTCTGGTAGCTTGACATTGTGAAGAGGAGAGTACCTGAGAAGAGCACACAAACGTTTACATATTTTTTCCCCAAGACCAAACAGGAAGGTCCTCTCATACTGCAGTTGTCACAGTGGCATCTGACAGCAACCAGAATACTGCAGTTCTCAGTCACTCAAATCAGAATTGCACTACCAGCAACCGAGATGTGGTAGCGTCCACAGACCTCTGGCTCTCAAGTGTGAAGCAAATAGTACAAACATTTCAGAGCGGCGTGTGCATACACACACCTCAGAGAAATGCCAAAAATATCAGGAATGCGCAACAGGGAAATGGCAGCCAAAGCTGTCAAGGCCATATCAGGATCCACAGGGAAATCCAGACTTTTCCCCAGCATACATATGTACTCCTGGTCTGCACGTGGATGGCTTCTTCTCATGCAAATTTGGAAACAGTCTTTGATGGTAAGCCACAAATGCTGTACAGTTACTAAATTTGCTCCCTCCAGTATTTAGGCTACCTCTGAACACGCATGTACTCTCACAGAACATGAAATAGGAAACTGAAAGGAGAACTGTAAGCTTTCGTGCTTTTGATAGATGACCTTGATTCCTACCTTCAAAATCTGCTTTTACCTGCATGCAAATTTACATCTTTTAGCTACTGTAACATAACAGAGAAGGTGTACCTACATATCTCAACACAAATACTCTCTAGGATTAGAAATGAAAAGGAATAGTCGCAAAGAATTCCATCTAACCATTTCATACTTCAGACAAAGCTACACCTCGGAAGAATGTTACACTCTTTAAATCAAGAGTAGGACTATTTTACCCCTTATTTCATGACATGAAATACAGAAGGAAATCTTGCTTTATTTTTGAATGAATTTCCCACTTGGAGGAGTACCTATTAAGTAAGTCCAAATTACTTTTAAGAACACGTGACAATACTTGAGTACTTCCTCATTTTCACCTAAGGAGCAATGTAAGTGAATCTGCAGAGTATAATTTGTTTTGAAAAGTAGTTTACATGTCATTTTATTTGCCTTGTGTATTTTTTGATTATCTCTAAAGGCAACATCTAAGCAACACTACATATACATCCTCCTACATTTGAAAAGCAATTGACAGCTGTTGAAAAGGAGGCAAAGAAATATTTCAGGTATTGCTGTATATGATATTTCTAAAATTATGCATTTTGTGAGTAAGCATGTGTGTAAGTAGGTATGGAGTAACTCCTTCCTACAGATGCAGTTCTCCTAATCACAAAATGAATTTAAAACTTTGCTTTTATTTTACCTTTTCAGAATACCTGGATTCACAGATGTGCAGGCAAGTTTCAATGTCTAAAATCATGACAATTAATTGGATAATTTTAAAAATATTTAATCTTTTATCTATTATGTAAGTTATCTATTGATAAAAGATGAATTATGAAATTTGTTAATTGTTTTGTGCAATATATTTACAAAAACATGTTTGCCACTGAAAACTTAAATTAGACAACTGGAGGTTTTGAAACAATCTAATAGCAATGGGCCCAACTGATCATCTAGTATTTGGACTTGAAATAGACACTTTTTTTCTTATAAATACTTCAAGTCAAGTTAGATTTCAGTATACTTGTAGCACATATACTTTTTATTATCTAATCACTCTGCTAAATTTCAGACCAGTGAAACTGTTTAGTGTTTCTGAAGTATTCTCCTGAAATGTCAATCTTCATTATTAGAGGAATTCAAATGCACTAAGACAAGGTTCTAGAAAAGTATTTTAAAATGATGGCACTTATTCTAACAAACTCATTATTAGTCATATCCAATGTGCAGATCATTGCTGTTCTCACACAGCTGTCTCTTTCTTCTTTTTTTTTTTTTTAAGTAATCTTTTAATTACTCCAGCCCTCTCAGCAAGGAGTTAAGAAACAAACTCCCCAAATCCAGTGTGGGAAAGGATGAAATAATTCTTAGAATAGACACTGATCATGACAACCTGAAACTGTTGAGCAGATTATGTATTTTCACAGCCAAAGAGGTATTTAAAGGCACTTACTTGCACAGCCATTCAAACTGCTCTTTACTGTCCGAGCAGCCATAGTCAGTGGTCCAAGCATGGCCAATGGTGTACTTGTGGAACTTGAGCATGTCCATCACCCCCACTTGGGCAATAGCACATCCAAATAGGTCAGGGCGCTGGTTAGCACAGGCAGCTTCGACAGGAAAACAACTCTGTTAGTATTCATACCTTCAAGAATTAAGCTCAGCAGTGAATGGTCCACTGCCAAATTCATGAAAGACCAACTTCCAAACAGCTCTTTTACACACTGTTTCTTTTAAGTAAAACTGTTAAGTTAAAACAACGTGAAAAGAAATATAGATTACCATACAATACCTGGAACAAAACCTTCAGTTTAAAACATCTGCTATGAACCAAATATCACTGGGAGAAGGCTGCCAGTGAATATGAAGTCAAATAGAGTAAAGCAAAGCTGAAGGAAAATACACAAACGAATAGAAATTATAACTTCCAAAGACGGTATGTTCAAAAGAGCTTAAGAGCTATTTCACTGTTCTTCAGGCACCAAACATGCTGTTTTTTGAAAATTGCCTTCAAACTAGCAAACTGGTTTTAAAGGTGAAATTAACTTTTAAAATACGTGAGCTTTTGGACTACCGAATTAAAGTTTCTTAAACAATTAATTGTCTAAACTTTTAAGATTTGTATCAACAAAGAAAAGGGATGCAGCAGAATCCCTCCATTAATTGATTGAAAGTTTTCTTCCACAATTACTACATAAACCTTTATGAAAAGAGTTTTGACAAAATCAGACTACTACAAAATCAGAGGAGCAACCTCATCTTTAGAAAGCAAATTACTGCTGTGTTTTTTTTTATGATTTCATTTTCCTACTACTGGAAGGGACAATTTCTTAAAGAATAATGCTTGCCTCATGTTTTAAAAATAACCAGTGGGCTCATCTAGCACAGTGTTCAATTTATAAGAATGGCAACTGGCAGATGCTCTGGGAAAAGGTGTTAAGCAAATACTGGGAGATATTTCCTGGATGTTATCAGTGTTTTAACTAGTTGTTTAGGTTTTCCCTGAGTAGGAGTTATCTACAGCCATTCTGTTAAACAGCCATCAAAACACATATCCTTCATAAATACAGCTATTTCCTTTCTTAATGTTTATTCACCTAGTATTCAACATATCCTGTAGCAGTAAGTTCTTCAATTTCAGTTTCTGTTGCTTGATTTAAATCTGTTGCCTGGTGATTTTACAAATTCATCTTTTTTTTGTTGGTTGTGTTTTTGGTTTTGGTTTTTTTTTTTTTTGTTTTGTTTGTTTTTTTGGTTTTTTTTGGTTTTTTTTAAGAAATGTAAGCACTGAGATGTTCACATTACTACTACAATGGATTCCAGAATCTCTTTCTTAATTCAGGGCTAATCACTGTGCATCTACATGCAGGTATACTCTTTCCAAAATTATTGTACCTCCTCATTTTTGTCTGTGCTGAAAATGGATTTTTATTCCCATTCTTTGCCTCCTGCTGACCAACATATTGCTATGTCACCACCTTGCTCCCAGCTCATCAAGAACTTTCTTGCATAGCCTTATGCAAGGAACTTTGTCAAAATCTTTTGAAAACCCAAGAATCACTCCTCACCTTGATCACTGTAACAAACACCATATGCTGCTTGGCTCCTTCAAAGAGGTCTAATGGATTTGCAAGATGCAACTTCAGCCTGCAAAATTACTCCTTATATGCCAGCTATTCTTTACTAATTTCAATTGGTTTGCTCATTAGAGAAGTCAGATTTACTCATCTGCAGCCTGTGGATCACCATGCACTATTTAAAAACTGGCATTCCACTTGCCCCCTTCTGTTCCTCAGATATTCAGGCTTAGAGGCCTGCAATTTCATATCAGAGTTCACTTAGGATTTTGAGTGTGCACCATCTGGTCCTGGCAACACACTACTTTTCCTGAGATTGATTTATTCCAAAACCTCTTCTTCTGATGCTTCAGCTTGAGTCAGCTCCTCAGAGTATTCCCCATGAAGACAGACTGGTGCAGGGAACTCCCCGTGCTACTCAGGAGAGAATATCAATACAGATAGGCCATTTAGTTACTCTGCTCTGCCATTATCTTTCTTTAGCACTCCTTTTACACTTCACTAACCTGCAAGTCCCACAGATCCTCTGGCCAGCTTCCTGCTTCTGATGTGCATAGAAAGCTTTCATTGCTAATCCTTATCTTGCAAACACTTTGCTCATCAGTCTCCTGAGGTCCATCAGTTCCTGTCAGAGTTTACAGTCTACCCAATTTTCTTCATTTGAATGGGATTCCTATTTTCTGAAGGATGCGATTTTAGTTCTGGTTATCTCTGATATGTAACTATGTTAACTCTTCCTGGGTCCATTCTAAGCCATATTCATAAGTTACAGATAGTGTCTTAAATAGCTGTCACATTCTTTATCCTTTCTTTATATGCCTCCATGTTCTTTATCCTTTTAACTGGAGCTTTATATCAGATCCCTACCCTTCATGTTAATTCCTTTTATAAACATAAATAATATTCTGGCAGGAAAAAAAGCCAAAACAGCTATCGTAACATTGCATTTTAGTACTCTTTGTTGCAGAGTACTACTTGAAGCACTGGATGTTGCTTAGGATTTGATAAAACATTGCTGCTCCTCGTTCCCTGAATAGCTACTTCAGTAAGAAATCACTTACAGAGAAACTCATCCATTCCCACTGCACCTCTCCAATTAGCCAGAATACTTAATTATATGCATTAATAAACTGTAACTTGGAACAAAAATTTATTAGTGAATTTTACTCCTCTAGACATACTTTGAGCTTTAATATTCAGTACAAAAGTAAGATTTGAAAACCTCAGAACTCTTTGTCTAAGCAAATACAAGAGGTCAAACACTGTGTTTCCATGAAGGAGGTTTTCAGCTCACAGCTGTGCTGCTCTGCTCAGCTTGGGGATCAAACTGCAGGACAAGGAAGTCTTGTTTTGCAGCTGAATGAGGCGAGAATTCAGGGCTCTGCACTCCTCAGAGTCAACTCCTGTTAGTCTGACTGAAAGGAAGCAGTATTTTGGAAGAATGACAAGACTCTTCCTTGTCATTTTTTTCTTCAACAAATGAGAATGGAGAAAATCTGGCAGTGGGTCCCTGCACCTGAAGTACAAGTGGTGCTCTCTACTGTTGTGTGAGCAACTATTGCAAAATGTAGTTCTGCTATGACGAAAATGCACTTAAAAGAATTTCCTAAATTCACCTAACTCTACCCAGTCAAGGAAAATCCTTATCTGGCTCATTGAAAGTATGGAAATCCAGTTGGATAGTAATCCATCTGCAAGGGCAAGGGAAGGGTTTTTAACAGATTTTTCAGAGCAGGGATGTCTAGATTCCTAACACCTGTCTCCTACTGGAATGACGTACGCTGCAGATTTCACTCTATTCCCCTCACCTAAACAAGGAGCCCAACTTATGTGTCCAGCCAGAAACACAGGGGCTGGGATGATTGAAGCTGGGTAGGATGAATCTGATCGTGACTGAAACTGAAGTCCATGTAACTATAACAAAGTATTTTCAGAAGCTATGTAGCACGTTCAAAGTTTAACTGCACTTCCAAATACTTGTTTATGCTCACATAAAACTGATGTGATGCAATACTCGCACTCCCAAAGGTGTGCAAACCCTTAATCCTTTACCATATTCATTCATTTATGTTGGTGCTCTTATTTACAATGCACAAACACCTCCTGCCAACTGAGAAGCATATAGGCAGAAAACAAAAATGAAACTTCATATGTACTTGTCATTTATCTTTAAAAAACCTGCATTTATAAAATAAGAGTGCAGGAATAGCCAAGATGGCTTAGACCACTGATCTGTGTAACTCCAAATCCTGTTTCTTATGCTGGCTGCTAGCTCACTGAAAAATAAAATAAAATCAGTAGAGCCATTATTCAGCAGCAGATAAATAGGGAAGAGTATAAAAAGAAGAGAAAGCAAACCATGGGTCTAATGAATCTGTATATATATATATAAAAATCACATTTTCTATAAATGTGCTTAATGAACTTGAAAAGCTTTTTTTTTCTTCTCACATGAATAGTTCATGTGAGATTTGTAATATTTCACATGCCTTTTATGCTGTTTTTTAAAAGATACAAACCCCAATATTATTAGTTTGTGTTTCCTTCTCCTTTCAAAATTGAATAAAATTACTTTCCTTTTTCTTCCACTACTTCCAGATTCAGGGATTTAATCAGTCATAAATTTTGTAGCTCCTTAAATACTGCTTAGACTATGAGATGCTTTTGTGACAAGCTTTTCTGTTTAAGAGGCTATTAATGTCCTTGAATTTAAGAACACAGCAGTGGATTGTATGTGAACAAGATGCATTTGTAACAAAGTGCTACATATACACAGTAGTCCCTAAAAAGCTAAGTTTTTCAAATAGCTGTACTTGTATTTTACATTCCTCACCACAGACATTCATGACTTTACTTGTGGTCATGTTTTAACTACACAATGAAAGTAGAGCCTAATTGTTATGTGTCCCTGTACAAAGGCTTTAAAAGCAGAACTGTCATGTTTTCATTTGCCCTCTAAGAACAAGTGGATGACTACAGAAAGAGTGAACGAGGAACTCTGATGAAGGATTGCAGGACATGGGATTCTGGCTTACACTACAGACCACACAAAGTTTCCTCATGCTACATAACAGATTCCTGGTTATTCAGTAATTATTTTGTAATTGTTAGCCAAGTGTTTTTAAAATATTCTTTCTCACTGTGTGATTCTACCACAGGGGCAGCTCTACCACCCATGACAGCAATAGTTAAGTATGGCTTTCAACAGGCAGCCTTTGCTAGAGACTGCAGAATCCCAATGTCCTATGCAAATATCAAATGAAGTACAATTGTATATATTTAACACCTGATATATGTTAATGCATTGACATTCTGGCAACTTTTGAAAAGACAATCTCATGAGTTTTTGCCTAATTACGTTGATAAACCCAGCACCAAACTCAGAAAATACACAAGCAGTTCTTACCAACTAAGAGGCCTCCATTTGAGCCCCCATTAATAGTCAGCTTCTTTGGGGATGTGTAGCCTTCATTGATGAGGTATTTGGCAGCATACTGAAAGTCATCAAAGCAGTTTTGTTTGTTGGCCAAGATTCCACCTAGCAGACAAATAAAACAAATCAGCTGATGCCATAAAATCCATTTGATACCATTTCTTCAGAAAAAACATGTGTGCAAAAATACCTGGGAACAATTCCAGTTTCATGAAGATTTTAATAACTGATGCAGCTCAGAAAGACAGCAAAAAAGAAAGATTCAACACAGAGAGGGTCTAAGATAGTTTTGTCGATAACTCTAATGCTTTCAGAAACTCTGAATAATACATACCTATACTGTGGAGTGAATTCCAGGTAATGTTCCTAACCAGTAAAATTAAAGCTAAACGTTTTGCATTGCAAAATATATACAAAATGTCTACGTACAATCCACTTGAGGTTTGATTTAATGGGACTTTAACAGCATCAAACTCAGTGGCAGTTTCTTAAGGCAATAAAGCTTCAGCTTATAAAATAAGCTATATAAAATAAGTACTTCCAATTTCCTGGACACAGAATATGTGGCTGGTAATATTCTGCTTTTTTTCAGTACTTGTTTTCAAATCAGGTTATATAGAGCTATGGTCAAAAAGGGTTGCATCTCGGTCTTAAATTTTATGAATGAACTATCAATACGGAAATGCTTAAGATGTTGCCACCCTGTTGAACAAAATCACAAAATCAATCAGATATATCATGACTGAAAATGTAGGTCCAGATGACATCATTGGTAAGACCTTCAGTTCTCAAAAAATTTTGCAGAGTGGGACAGGGAAGGAAAAGGATGGTTTCACCGTACAATCTTTCAACTATTTGAGCAGAAGAATATAACCTAGAGAACTCACAGCTGACGAAATCTCATAATCTTCCCTCTTCAGATGCTTGTTTGTCCCGAGATTAAAATTGGCTTGTCCCCAAAGGTTGTCTTACCTGATGACCTGGTACATTCTGTCTCAGGCAATTAAATGCTAATAAGAAATGGGCATGAGGAAGCAACTCCTCATACTCCTGTAGCAGAGGCTGTGGTCCAGCCAGGTCAGAGGGGCTCAGTGAATGCAGAGTAAGAACTTCTGTTCCTTTCACTTTGTTTAAAAGCTGAATGTTTATTGTAAGTTAACTGCCTAAGGTGTCCACTGTGGTCCAGCGATCTCAGGGACAAGTAATTCTACCCTAAAATAAGTGAGATGAGCTATAATCTGGAGGTGTCTCTTTATCTTCATTTTCCATCCAGTGATCCTGGACATCCAGTTTACACTGGATGCTTCATTTCTATGTTGCAGAGGTCTTTACCAGAGTTAACTCTTACATTTAGCCATACAGATCTTGTAGAACGGGGACTAGCACATTTTTTAACACATACACATCATTCTCACATTAACAAGACCATTGAAGAGAAGCATACTGGGACAACAAAAAAGTCTTCAAATGTGTGGCAATAAAGGAGAAAAAACTTACTCTTTGCTCAATAGTTCTGGTCTGGGGTAAGGTCAGAATCCTATCTATACAGTTAAACCTAAGTAAACAGACTTCTGTAATTACTTCTGGAATTAATGAAAAACAGACAAATATCTTATTATGAAACTGCAGTAAAGACTTGGGTCAAAATTAAGCAGGAAATAGGTGGACCAAAGAAGTATTATTATATTAAGATAAATTTTATTAATAACTATTACAAATCAATCGTCAAATTAAAATTAATGAAGGATGCTTCATCTTTAGCAATAATATCCTGTATCTGCAAGCATATATAGCTTCTATTTATGAAACTATTACAGATTTAACTCAATTGTGAGGAAATGACCCAGACAAAAAGTTACCACAGATGAAAAAATAAAACCAAGATGTAATGATCTGAGAATACCTTTTTGTTTGATAAAAAGTTAGTTTGGATTACTCCCATAGCAAATTACTGCATCATAAACACAACTTTTTAGTGTAATTGCCTTGATGACAACACCTTCAGCAACTCAGCCACCAAATTCTCAGGATACAAATACGGTGTCACCATTAAATAATGATGGGGATGTAACAGAGATGAGTAGGACTTTTTCCAGCTTTTTTCTCTGGTGAAGGGATGTGGAAAATTGTCAACAAGGCAAGTAGACAATCAAAGCATTAAGACAAGGATTGGATGGGAAAAACATGGAAAGAAATACATCAAAGATGTCAAGGAAAGGCGGAAGGAGATTTACAGGGTTCTGTAGCAAGTGACTTGGTTTCCCTGCTTCATAAAAGTCAGCTTAAAGCCAAAAAGGTCATATGCCTACCTACAAAAAGTTGGACCTCCTGTGAGAGTGTGGAGGGTAAGGCATGTCACTTTACTTGTGGAGCTGACTGTTTTCATATAACTTCAATCACATCCACTAAATGGGTGGTCTTTTCATAAACTGTGCAAAAACAATTTGGAAGAGTTACATCCTGAACTCAGAAGCTCACACCTTCTGTAAGGTTTTTTTTTTTTTTTTTTTTTTTTTTGTATGTCATACCAGGATGGTCTAGTCAGAGCTGTTGTCTTGGGGATCTAGAAATGCGGGACCATGTGCACGTGCAAATAATCAAAGAGGTATGTGAAAGAAAGCCAAGCTGCCTTCAATATAGACAAGACATTTTTTTGTAAAATCAGTTCAAGATAAATAGCTGCATTTTCAAACCCTTAAGTCTAGGAAACTTTATCTTGCTGAAAAAAAACTGAATAATTTTCTTGGAAAATATTGTGTTTGCGCAAAACTATTTTTAAGTAGCCTGTAAAAATTAAAACAATACAATGGAAAACCATCAGATAACACTGAACAATGAACAGAGCTAACATATGAATAAGGAAAAAATTTATTTTTCTACAGAATAAGAAAAAGGCAAGAGGAGACAGGAGGTATGGGAGAGGGAGTGAATCATAGAATCCTTTAGGTTGGAAGAGAACTTTAAGATCATCAAGTCCAACCATTGAGCCATTAGGGCTCTAAAGTCCTCTGCTAAAACAGATCAGAATCTGTCAGGGTTGGAAGGGACCACAAGGATCACCCAGTTCCAACCCCTCTGCCATGAGCAGGGACACCTCCCACTAGATCAGGCTGCCCAGAGCCTTATCCAGCCTGGCCTTAAGAGAAAACGTAACTTTCAGTACTAAGTCTGAAGTTTTGTTCCTCTGTCTGGACTGACTGACCTTTGTGCCAGGTCTCTCCATATTCGCCACCGCCCCTGATGTTCGCCACCGCTAGAACACCTCCTAAGTGTCGCACAAAAATAAGTCTTGATACACTGAAAAAACAAACAGAGAGAGGATTGGGTTTAATTTCCCACTTTTATATCCCTGCACTTCTACAAAAATACTATGAGGGTAAGATCTCTCCCAAAGTCAATGATGAAATAATGAATTAATTCCCCCTTGACAGCAAACCTGAGTAGCCAGGCTTTTTAAAATAGTTATCCATGGAAATGAAACCCTCTGCAGCTTTGGGAGAGGAAGGACCCAGTGCTGGGCCATTCTTCCTCTGCACTTCAGGAGAGTGGCCAACAGTTCTGCCCAATGGAAGATTCACCCAGGACGTGTCACCATTTTTTTTTTTTTTATTTTCTAAGTCTTCAGTGTTGAAAATAGAGCTATACAGTACCACTGGACCATCATAACTTTCTGAACTGTTCCTCTTCCTTCACTTTTTCAGAAAGGAAAGGAAGGTTTAGCTAAAATGAAGAAAGCTGATTAAGACTTAAGATCAGCACTTGATCTTCGTTTATGTAGGATTTTTTTAAACTTTATATAACTTTGTTTGCAAAGAAAAACTCCTTCTACCATTGTTTTGTGCCAGGTTCTGCAGTCAAATTCCTGCCAATTCCATTATTATTTATTTTTCACTTGCATTGCTATATACAAAACAAATTTTAAAAAATAAAATTACAAGTTTTGCCTTCTCTAGTATCTCTAGAAACTGGCTAAAAGCTAAAGTAGCATCATTTTTTTTTAAATGCCAAACTGCAAAAGTATCAAAGCTATTGCTATCTTTTTAAAAGGGTCTGAAATAATTTATATTTAACAATGAAGTAGAGAAAAAGATCTCAGAAGAAAAAAATCTCTGATCTGTTGATGTGGTAGCTTAACAAGGCAGAAGCTGCAGATGGCAAACCACACATGCCAAGGAGACCAGTAAAATATTAAAATGTAATCCCAACAAGTTTTTTCATTTTTTCCCTCTAGTTGGTTTAAAATTCTTCTTTACTTGAAAACTTTGCCAGAAACTAGTGCCTTCATAAGTTAATCCTATTCAGCCACAAGAGTACGGATTGGGCCTTTTTAACTTTAGGTCCCCCTACTGCTTATCTTGAAAGATGGTGGTCCTACAGTGAGTCTTATGTGAATGTAGTATCAAAACAGGTAAATATTTCGTATCTCCCAAGCAATTATCTACATACTGGCACTTGTTCTTGACAGTATATACCGAGGATTAAGGAAACAAAAAGAAAAGCAGAATGATAACTCATAAGAGATTTTTGTATTTTCATAATCCATCAAAGGAAAAACCTTCCAGCTAGGCTGGTTATCAGTGGCCATCAGATGGCTCAGGAGGCATAGACTGTCTCTGCTTCTGTAAAATCAATTCCAAAGTCTATCACCATAAATTGTATTTTCCTTAGGTTGCTGTGACATGCTGATCAGATGCAAGACTGACATTCTATAAGCACACTGTGCAAAGGTCAGAGAGCATTATTCTGTCAAACTCCAGGATGCCTAATTTCAAGTGGTTACTACTCAGCTAATGTGGAGTAGCCCGACAGCAGATTGCCTCATGAGATTGTGCCTTCTTAATTTTTTGTATGTCAGAACCACAAAACCTTTAAGAATATTCTGCACTTCTTTTCCCTGTCTGTCCCAAACAAAATCAACAGAAACTTGTTCGTCCAAACTTACCTGATCTCCTAGGTAATCAAAGGTAGCAAATATAAGAATTGCATGTAAGTTAAGAGTTTGCTACCCAAATATATTGCTTGGAAATATTTTAAAAATAAAAAAATTGAGAACAGAGTCCATTTTATTCCGTCTGCTGAAAGAAACTGTGCCCACTGAGGATTCAGCATATTTAACCAGCAAAGAATCTGAGAGCAACACAAAACCAAAGTACTGAGTACATCCTATCCTGTCTGTTGGCTCCTCTAAGAAATGGTGCCTTGATATAATATTTGGAGGTGCCTACGTGACTTAGAATCTCACAGGACATGCAGTATTCTTTATTTTAAGAAGCTAATCCCCATTTTCACCAGCAAACAATTTTTCTGTCACACAGACCATCAATGGGATAAAGTCCTGAGTTTGGTAATAATCATTATATTGCCTAAATTATAAGTAAGGTTTAGTACATCTGTACTCACTCTCTGCAATACTACTGGGATTTAGGCCCTTCAGAAAATATTACCCCATATAACCCAACATATACATCCAGTAAAGTCACTGCCAATAACAATCAATATTCACTCTGGTATGGTCAGCAGTAAAGTGAGTCAGGGCCCTAACTTGAACAATAATTTGAGGTAGATGTGCCTAGAGCTTCTAACAGGCTTTCTCAAAATTACTTTGAAGTTCCAAGGAAACAGGTTTTATAAGTATAGAATCAGGACTCATTAGCTTCTTAAAAAAGTGAAAATTCAAGTAATCAGACAGCACAAAACTCAAGTTTCATACATAACCCTGCTACTGCCTCCTGTGTTCTTCCCAGGGGTTCTCACTTCCAGATTTGATTTCGACTCAACTTGGTGTCTGAATCCCAGTCACCCTGGGTGCTTACAAAAGATCTCATTCTGCAGAGGAAAGTCTGGCTCCTTGCTCTTCCCAAAAGTCTCTACAGCTTTTTGCTCATTATCCCTATTTTTCCTTCTCTTGTGAGATCAGGGTAAAGAAAAAGATGAAGAAAAGGGCAACAGGGTCAGAAAGGAGACAATGAAGGGAGCAGAAGATACTTTCTTCCCTGGAGAGCTCCATCCAGACCCTCTTCCAGCTCACTCTTAAGGAGCATAACACAAAAACTATGAAAATAGGTATTGGTTTTTACAGTACAGAACAAGGTGAGGAGCTGTATTTCAAGGGGCAAGAATGCTTTCCTAGAATTACTGATCTGCTCTCAGGTATTACAGCTGACAGAGAAATGCAGGCTAGTGCACTGGGGTTGGGAACAAAGTCCTGAGTCACTGAACTTGTTTTCTTTCTCGGATTTTGTGAAGCAGGAGGGAGTAGTAAAACAAAGTAACTGAAAAGCATAATCTCGCACTCCACACCCGTGGCTGCTGTGTTGACTGACGTTTCTCTGGGCTCCCAGTCTCTCTCTGCACCATTCCTTTGCTTAAAGACTTGGTACAAACGTGGCCCTGTAGCAGTGAAATGCAATTTCACAGTTGGCTTCACAATCAGCTGTATTCCAGGATGCATTAGAATGTGCTTCTCCTGTACCCACACAGGCAGATAGAGAACAGTGAAGGGAAACACACTGGTTCCTGCAGGGAAATTAGCTGAAGCTGAGGCATCAGTGGTGAGTTTGTGATGGCATTTCCCCAGCAGCTCTGCCAAGCCACGGCTGTCGGTTCCACCAGCTTTCACCTGCACTCGCTACGCAGGCTGCATGAGGAATGACAGTGCTCTAGCAGGCACCATACTCAAAACATCACCAAATGCAGCTCTTCAGCCCAGAGGAACATATAAAAGATGCATGCTTGCATTCAAAACTAAACCATTACTGTCACTGACTTAATGATTTTGGCCTATCATTCTCATAGCTATTTCTGGATCCTCTAACCTGTTGGTTGGTTTCTATTGCTTTCAGTGAAAAATTTTATTTTCATTTTTTGTGTTGGAAAAAAAAAATAAAATAAAAGCAACCCCAATTTCTGAATTAAGCAGAAATAAGCTCCCCAAGCCAGAGAACTGGCTCACATTAATGTCTATGAAATAACAGTGAGAAAAAATTGCACTGGCTCGAAGAAATACAGGACAGAAACAGATCAGTGGAAAGGAGAAGAAGAAAACTTTGTGAAAAGTTATAATAGCTTTAAGGTCAAATAAAAAAAAATCAGGAATATTTATCCAGGAACTTGTTTGTTTTTAAAGGTAAGCAGGCTGCTACTACTCAGTTGCATTTCCATAGCTATGTCTCAGCTCAGGATCATGGCAAGCCTCACTCTCTGAAATCATGTGGCTGCTTTCTAACAGTCATGCCTGTGGTCATCGACAAAACAAATGACCAAATGGATGGTGGCTGTAACAGCACTTGGGCCTGGGGACTCCTTGTGGAATACTGCAGTACATAGTAACAGGAATGTAGTCAAGTAGTACTTGAATCTGCCAGGTAAAAAGGGGGAACTGGATGTCCTCCCTTTCTGGCACAAATTCTGTTACAATTTCCTTTCCCTGATCTTGTTTGCCTACTTTTGGAACACAATTCCTCAACAAGTGCTCAGCAATCAGGTTACTGACCATAAAGATGCATTTGAGGGCTTTGGCTTCTCTTATTTTATTTAGAAAGGCTGAGAAGGAACAGGTTGATATTACAGGTAGAGAGTGAGAAGGGTGGTGTGGCAAATCGTGTTTTATCTACATTGTCAGTGGCATAACGTATTTTGATTTGGAGGTGACTGATAGTTCTCTGCACACTTACTTTTAAGGGACTGTTACAGACTCATATTCTTATTTTAAGACCTGTATTATAAAGGTTTCACAGGGTTCAGGAAGACATAGGTCACGGCTCCCACCTCCTACCTTCCTCTCTTCTGACTGTCAGCTGCATCCTCTTGCTGCTTTTTGCTGGACTCTTAGAAGAGTCAATTTTTAACTTGTCAAATGGCAGAAAACCACCCACTCTGCTTTGCTGGGATAGTTTTCTGCCTTTCTTGTGAGGTAAATCAGCTTAGCAAAGGTTCCAGCAAGCACCAAGGTTAATGGATGGAAGAAGGCAGTGTGAGATACCTTCTCTGTTTTTGACAGCAGCCAGCTTCTGTCACCTCTGCTGTATGTGAAATTTTACCTCAAGTCAATAGATACATAATATTTACTTTGAAAAAGAAAACATGGTAAGTTTTATAACAGTTTTAAGCATCTACAATAAACTGTTATAAATCAGTGCTTGAGCCTAATTTAAAAAGGAATTTAAAAACTATTCTGTTTATATAATTGTGTCTCTCAAAACTCACAGGAAATTAAAAATGTAGCTTTACAAGGCAGATGAAAAAGCTTTCAAATAATCATAGAACACAAGATGGGAAGCCCATTGTTACACAAGGTATTTGGTATGCAGGATGAGAAACTGCAAATGCTATTTAGAAATACAATTACAGTGACCTGAAAAAACAAGCACTACAAAGGATTTCTTGAAATACGCTGACTCTAAAGCAAGACTGGGAGCACCTAAACTTAATAGGATTGTATCATAATAGATATTTTGTGTGTTGGTGCATTGCTCATCTACTATCTGAAAAACTGCTCTCCATTCAGGCCTTTGCATTTCTGTTTTCCCCTGCCTCACCTAGGAGCATTTCTTATGTTATTACAGACAATCACTGCCTCCTGGTAAGTCTATTCAAATTCCTTTGCTGAAGAAATAAACCTTTTCTTTATAGAGATAATCTATTCAGTAAAGCTTATGGCTTTGGAGGGCTACAAATCCAGTTTTGTACACAACAGTTTTGGGTTACAATGTGTTGTTTTGCATATGCAGACGCTGTATCGTGTGCATCTGAGGACAGAATCGTCTTTCCTCTTTCCTGACTATAAGAGAACACAGCAGCATTTTCCTCCTGATGTAATCTCGTCACAAGTATAACTTGAAAACAGCCAAATGTTAATGATTTACATTCATTTAAACAAATTTGATTTTCTGTAATATTTAGACATGAATAATGGTATAACTTGGGAAAAAAGAAAACTTTCTATGTTCTTAGTTCAGCAAAGGGCTCAAACACTTGCTTAATATACGTCCATATACTTTCCAGTGGAGCTCAGTGACAAAGCAGGAAGAGGTTAAGGTGTAATTCGAAGGGCTGTATGCCTGCTGTAAAGCTCAGAAGTGCACAGCACTCCTCTGACCTAACATAGATTTCTTCTGTGACCCAGAGCAAACCCCCTGAATTCAGAACTAACAAAGCAGACAAATGATGCCTGGGCACTGATGTGCAGTCCTTATGCCCCCATTTTGTTTCTCAGGGACCTGAAATGCATTACGTTGTCAGATCCATAGTCAATCTTGCTCACAGTCTTTGACAGTTGTTAATATCAGATACTTTAGAAGAAGTTATAAATTACCCTGCTTACCTGTAGCTTGGTGTAATTGATATGTTGAAGCCTCCATATCCATATAAGAAGGCAGGATGAGAACCATCCAATTTAATTCCTTTCTTGTGAATAATAAACATTGGGATCTTAGTACCATCTTTGCTAGGATAGAAAACCTAAGACAAGAGAGAAAGAAAATGGAAATGCTGTTATTGTTGTAACTCTTCAGAAGTGCTGTTAACAACAATCAGAAGCAATCAATTCCATGGTATCCAGTGGGTAAAACATTTCTAGCAATCTGCACCAATTGCTCAGATCAGGTTCACAATGGCCTTGTGAAGCATAATTGCTTAATAGCTCTGGAAAATGTATCAAAATGAGACAATACAAAGGGTATGGCAGTACTATTTTTTACTTATTCATCAATTCTACATACAAGAGGGCTTAACAAAAGGCTACAAAACCAACACAATGCAAGGGAAGACTGGCGTCGTGGAACGCAAGAACTCCATGGTCCATCTTACATGAAGGCAGCAAAGACTGAGCTGGCAAGGAAAAGGAACAGAACTAAACCCAGATTTCCAATCTAAAATTAAAACGTCCCTAACTTTCTCTTTTTAAAAAAATCCAACAGATACCAGAGAACAGTGGACAGAGAAAAAATAAGCTCATGGTAGGGTGGTGATTTAGTGAGACTCTATTAAACATTGTATTATTTCAGATAACAGAGAGCTATATTATTACCAAATAAAAATGTAAAACTCTGAAGATTTGGTCTTGTACTGCTGAAATCACAGAAAATTCCTTTATATCAGTTGCTAGAGCAGCATTTGCTTGTAAAAACATACATTTAAACACAAGCAGAAGGCCAAAAGTACTTTAAAAGTCACAGTATTTTGGTTTTAGTATTAATACATTGGCATTAACAGCCCTTCACAATGGATTCACTCCACACATCAGATCAAGTCAAAAGAGTAAACTTTGAAGAGCTGATGACACTGTTCCTTACTAAGCCTCAAGAAAACAGTAAAAATCTGACTACTCTATGCTTGTACACGCAGCCTGAGTTCATCCAAGCTAGTCTGTATCCAGCAAAGGTGAACTAAGCGTTGGCCAGTCTCTCCACGTTGTCTCAATGATCATCATCAGGGTGGTAACCTAAGCCGTGACAGGAAATTTCGTAGCAGTCAGTACATTTTCAGGCATTACCTAGCAGCTGGAACCAGGAGCCCTAATGCTGCAGAACTCCCAAACCCTTCCAGCAAGAGAACTGAAATTCCCGGTGGCTTTCAGGAAATCAGCTCCCAAAATAAGCATCCGCCTGCATGTTCTAACTTAGGATCCTGCGTGACTGACTTTGCCAGTCAGGCAAAACATGTGGGTGTGAATGCAGTTCACTGCTTGTTGTAAAATTCTGGTTGACTACTTTTCATTGCTTTAATTTTAGCATCATTATTGGCAGCTTCTAGTCTAATTAGAACAAAAAAGTAGTAAATGCATAATGACATTCTTATCATTTTGTTGCTTGTTTACAACCTCTGTGCTTTTAAGGAAATAGACCTACCATGCTTTATAAAGCACACGATCAACAAGATCTATTCTGAACCCCAGGAGTAATATGAGCCCATGCAACGCATTTATTCTGAGCATTGACTGTAATGTGAAACGTGAATCCATGTAGCATATAGAAAACAAAATAATTACACTTAATTTTCTTTTAATCATTGCTAACGAAAAGTGAGACATTTCAAATGAAACCACATCTACCTCCGAAGGCTTCATTAAAACCTGTAGACATATTCTAGATAAAATTTATCATTTCACAGTTCCTAGCAGATGTAAAAAAAATCAGAAAAAAAGCCCAAAGGTGTTTTTACAAAATGAAAACAGTTTCCAACTATTGCCACAAATATATATTTACTGACAAAGCGCTCATCAGAACTCACTGCAGTAGAATACAAAGGATTTCCATTGTAAATATTAGAGCTGAACACTATAAACAAAATATCCGATGGACAGGAGAACTGCTGAGGCTGGTGAAGAGGACTTCCAAAGAGACTCCTTGCTGAAATGCTGTCTGTCAACTCCAGTTCTTGCTGGCAGTTCACATGAAGTGAGCACCTGGCCCTCCTATGTTTCCAGAAGCTTAACTCTTGGCCAGTCTTTTCAAGGATGCCACTAATTTTACTGCTTCTTCCTAAACAAGGAGCTTTTCTTTTTTTTTGCTTTTTTTTTTTAACAGCTCTCTGAAAACTGACTTCAGCAGGCCTTTCATCATCATCAGCTAAGATTAAATATCCTACCATTAAATGAAAATTCAACAAAAAGATGCGTGTCAAGGTGACATTTGCAATTTAAGAGTTTTACTCCTATCTTTGATGAAATACTGATTACCTCTCCCTCCAGATGAACAAACAGGAGGGGGGTGGAAATCAATTCAGTGTGACACAAAGATATGTGAAGCTATTTAAGCTGCTCCAAACAAGACTATTTTCAACAACTGATTCAATCTCACCTTTAAATTCAGTGTTATCTCTGAAGCAAGTCCAATGGTTTATTCATGTAGCCAATAAAGGGATGTGCTTCTATCTCAAAGATTAAGGTAAACTGGAAAGGGCAAGCCCTAAAAAGAACAATTTCCCAAGATGGTATTTCATGCCTAATTTTAGAAGCTGTCAGCTTTTACAGCAGTAAATGCTCATAAAAGGGTACTACTGTTTTCTGCTTTATCACACATAGGAATGATCCACTTATACTGGTCACATTATATTACTCATTGGTCACTTATTTTTCAAATAAAGACTCATGTCACTACAGCCACTAGCATATGTAAGAAGAGGACAAATTAAAAAAGTGATTTTGGAGGGAAAAGGATGAAGATAGAGTATTATGAATGCTGAAACTCACGATTCAGGCAGGAACATGCTAAAAATAAGTATCTTCAGCCTCTAGGAATGCACCATCAATGCTGTGTGGTTGACAGGGCACTCCTGCTGTATGCACCCTTCATGCTATTCTAGGAGCATACCTCTGGAACAGAGCAGTACAGCAGTCCTGAAATAGTTGTAGCTCACTGTCTCACACTAATGTCCTTATCTGTCACATGGCAGAGGGGTCTTAGTACCAGAAAGAACCACTTTCAATATAGATGCCAGAACCTGAGGCAAAAAATTTACAGCCCCCATGCTTCTTATTATGATCCAGGGAGAAAGCAACACTGTTCCCACAATTGCTCATTACTATAAACTACATGAAGATTAAGCTACATAATCTATACAAACAACAATCTTAGTCATTCTCTTTAGTGCAGTGTTTTTAAAGTGGAGGGGTTTTTTTTTGTGTTCCATTTTGTTTTGTTTTTTTAACTTAGCATTTGAAAGCAACGTATATACCATTCTCCTCCAAGAAAGTAAGTTTTATAAGTAAATACAGTTAATGGCTGTGTGATAGGATTTGTAAATTTACTCGGGAGTTAAGTAGGATAAAAAAGTTCTATATATTCACTCCTGGGGAGGACTTTGTCCTCCTAATTATTATTTGCTCTAAATGTGTGGTATTTACGTTAGGTGAATCTTCACTTAAGGAAGAGGGGAAAAATCAGCCAGCATTGTAGACAGCTAAATTCAGAAAGACTGTGAGGTTATGCACTTCTGTCTCTGCAGAGACAAGAAGTGTCCTCTCAATCTCAAGTCACTGGGAGGCAAAACAAAATATTTCAGCCTTTGAAAAGCTAAGAGGATTTGAAAGAGAGACGTTGAAGACAAGGGTTTTCTTTCGTTTGTCTATAGAGATAATACAGCAAGACATTGAGACTTACATATAGAACTAAAAATAATTTTGGCAATCATCCACTATGCACTTCTCTTGTGAGCAAATAAATATGGAATCAGTATCTCTGAATATTAAAGGAAGTGATACACACAACATAACAAATGAACATATCACAAAAAATAAAACTAAACTGCCTGAATACTCACATTATGCCACATACTTGAAAATATCTAAAACTACCAAAACTAGACAGAAACTTCAACTTTTAAAAATTAGGAAACTTGGCAATTTGTGAGTATCCAGTTTCACTTTTTCTCCCTTTCAGAAATGTTTTCTCTGTTTATGTAACGGAGGGATTAAAAGATGTATGTGATTATAATTGTTTGAGGAAAAAAGTGTGTGCACACCTGAAATCATCTCATTTTTACAAAACCAAAAATCCCTCTAAGCAAAAAACAATCCCAAACTTCTACAGATTTAAAAATAACCTTTTCAAATGTAAGATTCAACATAGCTTTTGAAATACTGCTGTAAAACACCAATAAAAAATAATCTCATCCAAACAGATCTAAAGTGTATATTTTTAAGCTGTGAACAATATCTGAGTGTCTATAAACCTTTTATAATTTTTCTGACTCACTCACTGATGGCAAAGAGAATTAAAATCCAATTAAAAAGTGATTAGTTTGGCTTTTCAGAAATAATTATCTCCTGCAGATAAGACATCAATTTTACATATGAAAAGAAACTTTGACTTCTGGGAATTAAAAACACCTCCTAAGTCACAGCAGGTTAATTATTCTTGGAAAGCCACTGGTGATTCTAAAAATGTCTCTCTCAACCTCTCTTTCAAGATTAGGTACTACATACCAGAGATATCCATTCTTTCCATGTCTTTATGTGCTTGATCAAAACCAGGTAAGAGTTACACTTGCCATTAGATCGACATCCATTGTGCAAAATGCCAAAGAATTTTACAAAGAGCAGCTAGAAAGGCATGTAAATCATGCTGGAATACTCCCTACAATGCCTTTAAATTAGTTTTGTTCCAATGTCTTACATATAGTTTTATTCAGGTAATTCCTTTTCATTTGAAACAAATGTGGGATGTAGCAGTCTTGTGAAATTCAGCAGTTGTTTTCTGCTTCTAGGTAAGAGTGGCAGCCCTCCCACGGGGCTGCTGTGATTCCATGTCACAAATGGTTTATTAAATGCTCATAATTTTAAAGTCTCACACAACTACCTTTGAAAGTTGAGTGGAAGAGTAAAGTGAAGACAGTAGTCCCTGAAGAAAGTTTTCTTACACAGATGGTAGCATCAGGATGTTCAAACCTGTATTTAGGTGCAGAGGTGATGGCACCTGAGGCTGCACAATGCTACACAGCAACACCTCCCACTGACCAGT